CGAATTAAGGCGCAGCTCTTGAGGAGGAGGAGGAGGGGAGGGTACGGAGGGAAGGGTATGCCCCTCCGCCCCCCTCCTCCTATCCTGCTCCCCTCTCATTTAGCGGGGAAGCCTAATTGGTGTTAAAATCACGTGACGTCAATATCCCCGCTAAATTTAGTGAAAAAACGTCCCATAATGTAACGTGCGCGCGGTTACGCCGACGGCGACGCCGCTCCAGCTCGTAACGGGTGCGTAAGAGTTGCGCTCTAAAAATATGGGGGAAGGATATTTCCCTTCTTCACTACTATCACTCTCTCTCTCTCTCTCCCGAACAATTTCTGCGGCCCTTCCTGACCCCTATTTGAGTGTGTGTTTGTGTTGGTTATACTTTTTTTTTTTTTTTTACCTTTCCACGGCTTTTTCTCGCCATCCCCCCTCGCCCCCTCATCTCTCGGACATTACCGACGTCTCTGTACATAACGCCTGTGGGTGACCCCGGTGGCGTTGTTGACAGTGGCGGAAGATGAGCTCTAATACCGCATACACCGCGCACGGCTCCACAATATCACAAAGTTTAATCTTCGCCTCGATTCCGAAGCGAAGATTTTGGCCTCAAATAACTCCTTCCCAGAGTTGTGAAACGTCACTTTGTCGTCAGCAATAACTTCCACAATAGACGATCTTGCGACGAGAAAGTTCAGAGTATTTACAACCCGCCTAATCTATGTAGATAGCATAGACCCTAACGCGGCGTAGGGATGTAGGGACACGCAGGCGCGAAGTCATCAGTGCGGTCGTTCAATCGGCTGGTCCCACGGTGTTGCTCGCGCGCGCTCCGATGAAGCTCGCTACAACTTTATTCCTAACATTCTCGCTGGGATTTGAGCACCGAGAGAGCTTGGATGATTGACACATCGTCCCGCGTGACGCCAACGTCACGCGGGACGAGACTCTATCGCAGCTCATTTAGTGGCTCTAGTTCTTCCCAGAAGTGGCGCGCGGCACGTGTTTCGAGCATTTGCACAAAAACTATTGGCGCCACTTTTCCGAGGATAGATGGCGTTTACTCCACACAACCTGGGAGCGGGTTTGCAAACCAGTATTCAGACGAAGAGCAGGCCGATATAGGACATAGGAAGTGGAAAACTGCCGCTTTAATTCTTTTTTGTTTTCCAGTTTTAATTAAGCTCTAAAAATAAACCTTTTTTATTGATCTATTTATTGTAAAACCACGTTTGCGTGTTAAACGTGTGGTGGTCCAAACGGCCGCCACGCCGCACCTTGTGCTTTCGATAATTTCGAACGTGGACGGAACTTCGAATCAATTCGGAAATCAGAGCTTATTCTACGTTTTGTAAGCCGCTGTAATCTACGTATGTGCTGGCTCGTATCTCGCACCGCCTGTTGGCCGCTCCCTGCAGCGGCGGACGCAGAGCGAAGAAGATCAAGCTCGAGATCGGCGGCGAAGAGCCCTTGGCCCGAGCCCACCTAGCATTCGAATACGGTCACCAAATTACATTTGGTGACCGTATTCGACCGTGACCGTATACAGGACATTCCGTATACTGGAATGTCCTGGATACCAGGACATTCCGGTATACGGGGTAACGAATGCGCTGACAATTATCAGCCAAGAGAACCCACCAGCACATCTCAACACGAATGGTTCCTTATATGAAAGGCGATTATACATCTCTGACATGACAAATCGCAAAAAGTGCACGTGAGATGCTTTATTCCTCACCGGATTCTAACTACAAATTTCTCTATGACATAGACCCTTTATTAACAACACGACTACCAAGCAGTCTTGGGTAAGTTACTTCTAAAAAGTAATTCGTTACAATTACAGTTACTTAAAGAAAAAAGTAGCGAAGTTACCGTTACAGTTACCGCAACAAAAAAGTAACTCGTTACAGTTACAGTTACTTTTAAAAAGGAACGACGTTACTTTTCAGTTACTTTTTTATAACACAAAAAAATTAGAAAAAACTAGAAAACGCTTTTCACCAAGTTTATTTGCATAAAATTAAAAAGTGTGCTTTTTAAAACTTCATATTCTAACTTAGCCGCAGTTGCTTCTCGAAATTAGTGTCTGAAAGTTTCCCTGGTTTGATAACGAACACGTCCCTGCCCTTGTTGAACAGGCGCTCGTCTAACGCGCTGGATGGGATTGCCGTGTTGTTTCGCCGGAAAAGGTTTTTGATTGCCGGGTAGGCGTTGAGGCAATATAGTGCCGTTTTCTGCGGTCAAGATGTTAGTAAGCACCTCCACCACAGCAAAATACTGTCTGTAAGCCGGCCATGGTAGTTCTTCTTTGTTATTATCAACATTCATATCTTTGGTAGCACTAGCACATTGCTGGCTCGTTGACAGTTGCGCTGGGTTCATAGAATCCCTAAACATAGTTCAGTTTGTACCCGGCAAGCCAGAAACAAACCCCACGCAAACAGCAGTAAATTTTGCCTCGACTGTTGACACTACACCGGACTAGTGGCGCAAATCAAAATACGAAACATTCGAAGTGCCCTCCGCGCGTATTGTTGTTTCACGTTTGATTCACCCGATTAAGAATCGTTTGCGCAGAAAAAAGAAAAACCGCAGAAGAGATAAATCTTCAAGATACTAAGATGCAAGCGTTCGGTCACAAAGTACAAGCGCGTGCTAAAGATAACCACATTTTTTTTCCACCAAATCTACACGTCGCTTTATTCGGGTCTTGACTGGCGAGAAAGAACGTATTCACAAGTCTGTGCAAAAAATAACTTGACACTCGAAATGTCGGAACAGACAATTTGGAAAGCGCAAAGAATGGCTAAATTGTACTCGTTCAGTGACATATTATTCATAAAAAAGTGGAAAGTAACGACAAAAGTAACGTCGTTACTTTCATCGTTACCTGAGAAAAAGTAATAGAACTACAGTTACAAGTTACATTTTTAAAAAGTAACTCGTTACAGTTACAAGTTACCAAAAAAGTAACAAAATTACAGTAACGCGTTACTAGTAACGCGTTACTACACAAGACTGCTACCAAGCGACCTACCACGAAATTTAGAAACTCTTATACATAGACTTCGCCTCAACTGTGCGTACACGAAGAACTCTCGCTTTAAAATAAAACAACGCGCGACTCCGGACTGTGAGAAATGCGGTGCGCTGGAAACCATCAGACACATTCTGCTCACATGTGAAGCATATGAAAATGAACGCAAAGTTTACAAAAATTCTACGATTGCTCTGGACTGCAGACCTTTTGATCTGCCAAAGCTTCTCGGACCTTGGCCTGCTAAGAAACATCGAGCAGCCTTAAAGGCCCTCTTTAAATTCCTCGAAGACATTAACTTGCTGACAGTGCTATAATTATTTTTCTCGTCCTTTTCTCATTCCCCATCCTGAAACTAGACACTATAGCGTGTATATATTTTAACATTTCATCTCATCATCATTGACCCTTTGTCGATCGTCTTTCTATCTCCCCTCCCCTCTCCACCACAGAGGAGTCTGTTAGAGCGCAAAGCTCAGACCAAACTCTCTGTCTTAATAAAGATATTCTCTCTCTCTCTCTCTCTCTCGTTATCTCCGGAAAAACTATGTATCATCTATGAGGAAAAGGGTAGAAATAAATAGCGGTTGAATCCCCCTTTAACACAATGTATATGTGCACGCCAATCAGCAGACAACCTAAATAATGCGCAGAACAGGTCATGCTGTTGGGGCCGCAAGGAATCGCGCCGTCACTGGTTGAGATGGAGGAATGACAGCACGCGTTTGCATTCGGACAAGATTCGGGGGTAAAGAATGGTGCGCAAAAAGCAGATGAATTTGTTTGCTGTCGCATACTTATCAGGGTTAACAGACTGAAGTGCCAAATATTTACGTAACTTACCATAAACATACCATATTCGAACCTGTAAACCCAAGTGCTTTGAGGCATTTTGGCGTGCCCAGCACGGGTCAGAAATAGCCCAATAGTAGCCAAATAGACAACTTCCACTTTTTCCCGCCAACTGCAAATAAAGCTGGCCCTATTTGACTATGTACAGCCCATAGAGTTAATACAATAAATGCTTGTAAAAAGTTCGCAACGTTTTATAATCGGATGTACAAAAATATGCGTCAGTTAGAGCGTTTTTTTTTTTTTTTAGAATTCAGGCGTCGAACACTGCGCTATAATAGCCCAATAAAGATGTAAAATACGTGTTGACGTTGCAGACTGCTATTATAGCGCGTGTATTTAATCACACAGTCAATGCTATAAAGCCCACAGAGTAAATTACCTTGACAAAACACCAAAAGGATGTTAATATATGCCAAATCAAACCATCATAAAAGACAAGAACGAAGCATGGAGTTATGGAACGAAGAACACTTACTGGACTAGTAACAAACTTTGCATGAATAATCAAAATAAAGCAGTAACCGAGTGCTGTTATTCTGAAATAAATACGATTGTTGTTCTTTTTGCTTGCATTCATAGCTTTTATTGACATAATGCTGTACAACATAGACCTGGGCCTCAATTTTTGCTAACTTAAACATCGCTCAATAATAATAAAAAAAAAACATTATCGGAATAAAATTACATAGGACCCTTACGAATAAAGAAACTACGCTGATTGTTATTATCCCCTGGCGAAGAGAAAAATATCACGTACGTTTTCCAATAGGAATACACAGAAAGGCTGGAAAAGTAAACTGCATGCTGTCTGCTTCAATTTGCAACCGAAAGTCCCGTAGACAGTAGACACTAGCACCAGCTGAGCCTCTAGCGTTTATTGTAATAACTCTATGGTAGAGCCCAACCTGGCAACCCTGACCAAGGATGAATGGATGGATGGATGTTAATGGCTATGCCCTTTGTAACGGGCGGTAGACTGCGCCACCTACTTTTAAGTCTAAAAATGGAGCCCACCAATGTTGCCTGATGAGGATTTGAAGAAGGGGTCTGTTAGACCAGATAAAATTGTGAGTTTAATTAATGATTCAAATTTTTCTTGTTTTCTGTCATGTTTCAGAGACGGAATGCAGCTAGAATCTAGGCGCCACATACATCGTGAGCGGCACCTGCTACGAGAAAAACAGCCATCGGATCAAACAACCAACATCGGATGACACTGGCAGCGAATTTCACAAGATCTGAGAGATGCATCGACGGCCCAATTGTTTTCCACCGTCATTACGGCAAGCAATGCCGGCGATGAAATAAATCAGTGAATCAAAAACTTTAGTGGCTCCCTCGCCTAAATGGCGCCAATGAGGACGTGCTTTGATTCATACACGAGTTCGTTAAAAGGGGCTCTTTGGATTTCGGAACAGGGCTGTGGGAGAGAAAGTCATTGAAGAGGCGGATGAGGGCGGGGGACATACAGCCATCGCAGGCTTTAAGCAACTGGGGGTGGAGGCCATCTGGTCCAGGGCAATGAGAGTAGTTCACACGGGCAAGGGCCTCGTATACCTTTCACTTGAAAGAATGACTATGGAGGAGAGTGTGGTTGCTGGTGTGGCCTCGACTGGCAAAGTTGTGGATTGGGGGACAAAGGTTAGGTGGGGCAGGGTCGACCAATGCAGCAGCCTGGAAAACGGAGTATGAGAAGAGCTGGGCTATGTCGTCAAGGCTTGAATAGGGCTCCGTGATGTGTAAAAACCGGCGCTTGGGACATTTATTGTTGATGGTGAAAATATGCACAAAAGGGTTCGGGTTGGAGGGTTGTTTTTGGTGCTAGTTGCTGTAAATAATCGTTATGCAAGACACGAATGAGACACTTGATTTCGGTACGGGCTTGGTGGGCTTGGTTAAAATGAGTGGGATTTTGAGTTGAGCTTTTTTGAATAGCTGGTGTTTAACGTCTGCTAAGGGCTGCAATGCCTTAGTCATACATGGGAGGTTGCCGCGCCTCCTGTTGGTCCTTAAGGTGAACTCATTCGTGCTTAATTGCTGATATCATGTCGAGCCAGAGGTCGTAGGCTTCGTCAGCCGATAGTTCATCAAACACGATGGACCAGGGAGCGAAGTGGATGAGCTAATTAAGATGAGGGAAATTGTTTTTTAGAACTGCTAAAACTTGTTGGCTTGATGACCTCATTTAGGGGCTGAGCAGTGGAAATTGTACTGTTTCACCTTATGATGTACCGCAGGAAAGGCTACAAGCGCGAGCTCCTTGCTCCAGAGCACATCTTGGCGGCACAAGCTCTTGTGCGTTAAGAGCAGCTCCCAACGCCATGAGCTCGCGCTTCTAGCCCTCTCTGCGGTACAACATACTGGGATCGCTGTTTGCGTTTGAAAGCGTTTGAAAAGCCAAAAACTGGCAAAAAAGGTACGTAACAAGATTGTAAAATAAAAAAAAAACCATTAACCTAGACACGGAATGCACAACTTTCTAGAGTGACCGAGCATGAAAGAAAAATAAATAAACCTTACCTGGATATGATTTTTTCTTTTGTTCTTAAGTTGGTCGCAGATGTCTTCGAGATGCTCGTCTTATACCCTAGTTACACGGGTGGTTTGAACTGTCGTTGACTTCAATCCCAGTTATCGGCCCCGACTGTGACTGAACTGAACTGAACTGCGATGGTGCTACACGGCTCTCTAGACGGTTAGAACCCAGTTGAAGCTAAAACGAAACTAGTTCTTGTGCCCCGTGATGAGTCTAATTGTTAAAGTAATTTACTCAGAGACACACCTTTTATTTATTGTAAGTATATCGTATAATATGTTTCATACCTTGCTGCTTTTTAGCGGCGTTTACACGAGTACCAAAGCAGGTTCAGGGCCAAGTTGCGCATATTTAGGCTAGGTGGTGCAAGCTACCACGGGTGCACCCATTACTATCTGGCCATTTATACAGCCAGTTCCGCCGCCATCTTCGCTCGTTCGGTGGCTTGCCGGCTAGTTGGGATCGTTTTAGCGCCAGCTCAGGCGCCTAAACATATTTCTTCCCGGATATTTCGCAGCTACGATTCTTTACGCCTCCCCCTCCATTTCGAAACAGTAGGTGCCTCGCAAACAATGGTCGGCGGCAGCGGTCTCGCGGATAGGCGCCATTTTACCTCCGTTGAGGAAGTTCGTGCAGTTGAACTGAGGTAGGGGAGCTGAGTTGAACTCAAGTGTACTCAAGTGTATTTAGCGGCTCGATGACAGTTGGCACCGCCGTGTAACTCCGGCTGATCGTGATTAAGTCTACTGTCGTTGACTCGAAGGCAGTTGAGAGCGCCCGTGCAACTGGGGTAATAACCCAGTTACACGAAGAAATGTATAGACGCTTTGCAGCAGCTGTCCATGGACGCCGCCATAACTGACCTTCAGTTTTTGTTTCCTCTTATTCCGTTTATTTCACTTCATCATTACCATAGCCGGCCAGGTTATCGCCATATTAGATTCAACTGTGTCCTTTTCTAAAGCACCGGCCTTTGTAGAAGATCGTCAACTACCGTTTCAGTTGCTCGGCATCTCGGTAAGACAAGAGAAGGTCAGCAATGGCAGCTGTAATTTGGCGCGTGTGTAAAGCGTCTATAGGTGACACGTCCCTATCCTTCTCTAAAAATGAGTTTGAATTTTTGAAACGCGGGCTGAGCAGATAAGGTAAACAGGGTTTTTGGCTATATAACGTGTGAATTTTCAATAGACTTCAGTTGAGAGTGCGCCTTGTCCTGTTTCTCTTCGTCTGTGTCCCTGTATTTTTTCGGCGCTTTTTGTTTGCAATGAACCGACTGGCCCAGATCTCCAGTTTATTGCAGTTTATTTCTTTTGCAACGGGCTCAGTTCTATGTTCTAATAGCCATCAGTCCATTTATCCTTTCATTAACCTTATCGCCCTCTCGTTCTGTCGAGCCATTGTTAAAGAAGACATGAAGCTTCCTGATGATGACCCTGACCGGCGCCTACTGGCGGACTTGGCGGAAACAACCGAAGTAGAAGCCAACGGCCTCCTCGTTCAACTACGCGGGGAAAGAAAGGTGCTCTGGCTCCTTACCCACCTTCGCCAATTGGCACTCGAGTTGTCACATGACTATCTCACAAGCGCTTACGCAGGTTTTTTAAAACTCTAAAACCCCCCTCTTCCCGCTTTGTCTGGTTGGGAATGAGAGCTGACGTCGCCAGGCACGTTCGTTGCTGTCAAGTGCGCCAACGCACTAAAGCCCGCCGCCAGAAGCCTCAAGGACTTATGAGCAGCCAGTGGGCCACAGCACCGATGTAGGAGCTAAGTGTGGATATTGTAGGACCTCTGCCCTAAAACACCTTTTGGTGATAATCGACAAATTCACAAAGTTTATCGAACTTTTTCCTTTACAAACAGCAATTAGCAAAAACATTATACACGAACTCATCTCTGTTACGTCACGGCGCGGTGGTGGCGCGTCGGACGCACTTCCGGTCTGGGGCTGTGGGCGGAAGTGCCCATTTGAGACGTGTATTCCTGCGTTGTTTTGAAAGGAACCAGACAAAAACCTGCCTTGTCATCAAAATGCTGCGACTGGGGCTGTACCAAGAGAGTCGAGAAAGGTTTGAAGGTCAGTTTTCATGCGCTCGGTTCGTCCGGGAACGCGGATATGTGCCGTGAAAAGGGAAAACCAGTCGCCGTCGGACCACGATTGCTTGGGCGGGAAGCATTTTGAGTTAAATTCACGGATACTACTGGCCATCAAATTTATTTGTTTGATTCCAAAATGAACGCCGTCAAACCGTCAAGTTGTACGGACCACCTGCGGACTACGTTTAGTGCGTCTTCAAGTTCAAAAGGTCGCCTGATCGTTCGAACTGTCGTCTGCTCTTTCTAACGTTTCTGCTTGTCGTCTGCTCTTTTAGAGGACACCGGCCCGTAGACCAAACGTGGGCCCTGTACTTGCGATAAGAATTAAGTACGTGCAGGCCTTAAAAGACTTAAGTTTGAAGGTTGGTAAGCAGGCTCGATGTGAACAGTAGATACAAGGAGATGTTGATCATTGTTGCCAGTGGCCATCACCGACTTGTTATGCCTGATTCACTTGGTTAGATTCTGCTTGCGATTTTCAGTATCGACGTCGACCAACTCAGCTACGGTTCACGCTTTTGCAGTCCGAGCGACGTCGCTACTGAAAATTGCGAGCGAAATCTCATCACGTGAATCAGGCTTTAGCGTACGTTCTGTGGCGTCCACGCGGAATGAATCGCCGCATGTTAGATTATTCATGAGAAGTTTTGCGGTGTAACGAGCCTCGTTAATTTCGCTGACGCTGCTCAAGTAGTCAGTCATCGTTAGGAGGACGTAGAATTAACAGTTCCCACGCGAAAAAGAGCGCGGGGACTCACACCGGCGCCGACAACATCGCATTTCAATGGTTTGTTTATGGGCGACGGCGAGCTTTTTGCCCACACCCCCATCGCGCATGCGCGGCGCGGGTGGCGTCCGCTAGGGGCGCTCCGGGCGCTCCGGTTTGTTTGTAAACACGAGTTGGTGTATAGAGTTAATGGTGCAAGTTTTCTGCCGACACGGCACACCTGTTTCAATCTCCAGGGACGACGGCAAGCCATTCGTCAGTAAACTGTGGCGAGGTCTCTTAAGCCACTGGGTTATCGCCGACCGCCAAACTGTGCCATACAGGCCATCAGGACAAATGGTAGAGAGGCATAATATGGCACGGTGAAGGAGAGCCTTAGAGAATATTGTTCTACCCACAGAGACTGTTACCAGAACATTCCTGAAATCGCATTCGCGATGCGCACGGCAGAAAGCATCGTCACCAGATTTACCAGTCTTCCTTTGCAACGGCCGAGAGCTTCACACCCCGTGGGAAGTGGCGGGACTCAAGGATGACAGCGAGCCACCAGCTTCAGCATGTCATGCTTTTGCGGCGGAAGTCACTCGGCGCCTGCACAACGCACTTGATTTCTCTCCAGATCACAAAGAAAAAGCAAGGCAGGCCCAGATAACTTATTACGACCGGCGCCGGAAGCCTGCTACAATAAGTCAAGGGGGCTTTGTCCTTCTTGATGCCCACACGTTGAGCGATGCGGCCAAAGGCATTACTGCGAAGCTTGCTCCACGGCGCACGGGGCCCTTCCATGTGGTCCAGTGCCTGGGTGCTAACGACTTTGTGCTCAAGGACCCAGTTACTGGGCGAAACCGGCACTTGGCTCAAGCGGACCAGCTGACATCGTACCACGAGTCAGTCTCAGATCTACTCCCACCTGGTTTACGTCTCAAGAAGGGGAGACCTGTGGATTGTCTGACGAAGGACTATGCCA